CCCCAAAACCCCAAAACCCCAAGATATAAACATTGTATAAATGCAAATATGCCAAAAAGTATTTAAGAAAATTTAATTATATTATTTAATATAAAACAATTATTCAGAAAAAATAAATTAATAGTAAGTAAAAATAAAAGTGCTTATTTTACTAGAATTAATTCGATTCTCGCATTAATAATTTTAAGTGTTTAAGTAAAAATTACTGTTACACTTACATTATTATGTTTTATAGGCTAAAATAGCAGCAACATCAATCCCCGCTAAGGCAACTAATTTAAGCTTTAAACTTACCTCTGTCTAAGTCTTACACTGATGAAGAGTTACGTGAAAAGTATGAATTATTAATCACCGCAGTTTATAAACCTTGTAACATAAATTTAAGTAACAAGAAAATTTATACCTAAAATGACTCTAAAGTAGAGTAAACAAATGCCAATACATAACAGTATATTAAAGATGGAGTTGAAGATGAAAATCATGAGAAGAGCAGCAGTAGCAGCGATGATGATACTTGGAAAAGCAAAATAAATACTATTGAGTAATCAATGGAATAAGATAAGCAAGAAATATATATTGGTGGGGTATCCATTAGAGAAATTAAGGAGAAGTACTATAACTACTTTAATTCTAAGAATTAGGCTATAAACAAAGAAATTCAATAGAAATCTAGAGCTAGAGCGTTTCTCGCCACTGACATATAATTGAATCCTTTTCATATTACTCAGTATTATGCGATAAAGCCCAACACTATAAATGATGTATCGATTAGGGTCAAAACAGCTAAATCTAGTTTACTACTAGGATCTAAATAGGTGAATTATACAACTCAAAGAGGACGTGATTCTTATTAGAACGAGGATGAGATACAAAAAGCAAACTTGAGTTCACTTGTGAAAATAAAGTCAATTTATACAGACCACTAAAACCTTGCAATCCAGGTTGATGTTAGAAATATTATTAGAAATTTTGAAAATACAGTAATTGAACTTCAGATGGAAGTTTAAAGACTAAAATTTGAATTAGCTTCAGCTAATG